ATCTGCACTGATATACCTGTGCTCACACACTCTGATGTTATCATCTGGCCTGACCCTGCTCCCACAGAAGCCAAGAACACACTGTTATTGGTTTTACAAGGACTGTTGCTAGATTGAAAAAGTACTATCTGGGAAAATTTTGAAGATTTAAAAATGCTAAATTAAAAAATATCCTGATCTACCACTTTGGGGAAACAGTCACAGATTACAAAGGATTAGAGGAACGAGGCTTCACCAGAACAGGCCTATTTTGAGGGAGGAGTGATGGGTTGGAGGCAGGTCCTTGCTGAGGATGGGCTCTATGTCTCTCCTCCAGCACAGTGGAAAGGCCAACCTATTTCTCTTCTTAATCCCCTGCCTCCTCTTCTCTCCTTTGTGGCGCTCAGCAATTTTACCCAGTTTATCCCAACAAAAGTCTATTGTAAAATGGGACTTCCCCATCTTTACCATGGAGAAGTCATCACTTTCCAACAAGATGTTGTCAGAAAAGGCCCATTCGAAATGAATAATCAAGGCTTTCATTGCAATGACCCCCCCCTCTTTCTGGCTGATGACGTGGTGAGAAGAACCCAAAGTTTTGTTGGTAAGGTAAATTCTGCTTACAAAATCATGGTGGACACAACTGCAGGCAGCCATGTCCCAGCACGTCTGATGCTCCTGGAGGGGTCTCTCAGTTCTTAATATTTGTTGCTAAGAAGAAATGAAAGCTGAAGAGCAAGCTAAATTCTCTAAAATATAGTTTTGGAACTACTACTTCAGGCAATTGTCCTTGCCCATGTAACACCGGCATTGGCTAATAGTGGAACATGATGTTCAGAGCAGCTCCTACTGTTTCAGAGGGATGAGAAAATAAAATCCGCAGAAGAAAAAAATCTTCTATTTTGGTATACTTAACACATACAGTTATCTACGTGTCCTATATATCATTTAACAAATTGCTTTGCAATTCTTACAGGGTGTGGTATAATGACTGATTTAAAATCACTGCATTGCTTAAACTGCATTGTTCTTCATCAAGTTGAGTCATTTTTATGTGAAGTGTCAAGCTCTCTAACAAATAACTGCTGCCAGACAAATCAAGTTCCTCATCTTAAAGCTACGGCTAAATAGTTTATAGCTTTAATCTGCTCACTGAGGTGTGCAGTCTATGACAGTAATTATAAATGCAAGGAGAAATTATAGCTGAATGCTTTAACTGCATTAGGAGCCATTTGATGAACAATCATGATTGCCTGCTCATTTTCAACAATAGAGGGCAAGTTAGTGTCAGTGCATTAGAGGATTTTCAGTTCTGCTCTGCTCTTTCTTCCATTTACCACAGAATGTCAGTTGTCTCCTATAAAGTAGAAAAAAAGCACTGTAGAAGCTTTAAACTTGATGGTTAAAAAAAGACAAAGGAGGAAACAGAGAGAAAAACTGTTTATCATTATGACTCATTTTTTTGTTTTGCAGCAGCCTTACTTTCAAATTAGTTCATCTCAGGTAGCTGCTTGTTTACTTATCAGGGTCTTTTGAAAAAGAAATCTCCCCAATCAAGTTGGTAAATTTGACTCTATGGAGACTTATTTCTATAAAAAGTTGGAGATAAGACCACAGAGCGCCTCGGTTACCAACCTGACTTTAAAGTGAGAAATACAATTCTGCCTTGTCTTTTTTCTCAGGACAACATAAAAATTCTAATTTAGTTGAAAAGATGAACAAGTGTTCTTCAAAGGTATAAGTCAACATACAAATTACTTCTAATTAAAGCCATGTTCCCTAATGTTCATGGGTTTTCTTTGAAGAATAGCAATAAAAACAAATTTGAAGCGGGTTAAATGAAAGAGAATAGAGCCATCTGATTGTTGTATATTACACGTAATTTTACATTATATTACTAAACCCATATCAGTTAGAAGAACTCAAGAAAACACCAAAGATGAATATAAAACAGATATATACGTCTTTACATTTAAGAAGAATTTATAGCAAATTTCTTATAAACAGCCTCACAGAGGTCTTAAAAAGAAATCCATATACATAACATTTTTCTACAGCACTAACCCAGATTATTCATTTATATTTTTAATGATAGCTAACATTTTAAAATATAACCTTTAATAGTAAATTTCATTGAAATATAGAAAGCATTTTATGTATTTCTATACTTCGAGTACTCTTTCCACTGTTTTATTTCCATTTATTTCCATATATTTTCTCTATTTTTATTTCTATTTCTCTACAGTATTGCCTAGAAGAAGTAAATGCAAATGCACATGTGCGTTTTAAGAATCTCAGTATGCCTTATATTTCTTGTTTCTAAATACTGTGCTCTCCTCTATGTTATTATTCAAATGTATACTGAATCTTAAAAATAACATGGTAAGAATAAGCAAACTCTGAAAATCCCTGTTATTTGATTTAGTCTCCTTGCCGATCTCAGGAGGAAACCATATGAATAAATTCTGGCCTCCACACTTCTGCCATCGTCAGAACTTTGGTAGGCCTACGGCTCTAAAACTGTAATAAAATCTTTACAATGCTATCCAAAATACCCCATCATTTCATACAATTTGTGCTATCATGCATACCAACTAAAATTATAGTTCCAGATAACAGTGCTATCACTCTGTCATTGCAATTTAAATATATTTTTTCAAAGGTAAGATACAACCTGCATCTTGATATAAATTAGAAATGGATGAGTATTAAGAGGACAGCAATTTCTCGGTACCCAAAGACAAGAAGGACGGTACCTTATTTATGTAGTTACAAACCACCTGAATAATACCTGTGATGTGTCTGTGTAGGTTATTACGATGCAGAAGCCACTGTTGTGTTTTTTTTTTTTTTTTTTTTGTTTTTTTTCCCCAAATCTGGTTGTGGTTGTTGTTGGTTTTTTCAGATGCAAAAGCCACTGTTGTGTTTTTTTTTTTTTTTTTCTTTGTATTTGTTCCCCAAATCCTCAGAAATAGAAACATGTTTATAAAGGTGGGTGTTTGGTTTGCCTCTTAGTAATAACACGGTGCTTTTAAGACCAAATCTGAAACATTTGTCACGTATTAAGCCATGAATGTGCCAAAATAACTGTTATATTAATATATTTGGCAGATAGCTTTTGTTTGATAGTATCCAAATTATTGGTTTGCTCTGATATCTCTTGTGTGAAAACTATGAATGTCAGAGTCTTAATAATCATTAACTGGTGGGGAAGGAAACCAAGTATGGTATATTTTTCCTAACCGATCTCTTGCAGTTTTCTGATATTTTGTCAGGTATGTTGATTCGGAATGGTCAGATAAACAAGGAACATTTATTTGTTGAGTCCCAATGTCAGGTTAAAAATGCCAAAATAGGAACTTAAGGGTATCAGCCCCATTTAGAAAACAAACTCCTTCTGAGCTAGATGGAATTTTGCTGGCTAAAATATGAAGAAAGGATAAATCCAGTCAAATGCAGACAGCATGTACAAGATGTATGCAAAACTTAAATCTTACTGCACCTGAATTCTGGCGTTATACTCTATAGTAATAGCTTCTATTACCCATCCCAAAGTAACCCTTTGATTAGTGGTTTAAATTATTCAAAAGCAGCCTTTTTAATGGAGCTTAAGTGATGCATAGTCCTTGCGCTGGCTCTGTACACAGAAAGTGTTTCTTAAGGCTTCATGAATATTTGCAGCAAACAAATGTGAAATCTTCACACAAACGGGTATTCATCCTCAAAGTGCTTGCACCCTCAATTAGCCAGAGAATAGCCACAATAGCAGGTGGCGTAAGTGACAACTCACAACACATCTTTAATTTTGAATGTCTGACGAATTCATTTTCCAAATGTTTTTCAAGTAATGAACCCATTGGAGAAAATCTGAATCTGCACATGATTATTCTGCGAACAGAAGCAGAGCCTGAGTCTGCTGGAGAAATTGTTGGGAATGACTAATGGAGCCTTGCTGGAAATAAACTCGTTAGAACAAAAAACTTCTATTTGGACTTTTAGTTGATGTTCTGCATATTTATTTAAATCAAGAATATTCAAGTTTGTGAATCAAATAAAATTAAAAAATGCAAAAATTTGTGTCATCTGAATATTACATTACATGTGATAAACATTGGTTGTGGCAGTACTTCGGTTGGTGTATCTTTTCGCAAAAAATAGCAACACTAACATAGAAGTATCCTACTAACAGGTCTTCGAAATATCAAGCTTGTAAAAAGCCTAGCTGCTTCCTCAATTAAGCATCAACCCCCCAGGTTACACGCAAACTTGCACTGAAGTCAGTGATGTTTATGGATTGACTAGCACTCCCACCAACATGAAACAAAATATAATCAAACATCTTAGAGATTAAAAAAGGAATGATGGAGAGAGAGGTTAAAATGATGTGACAAAAAAGGCCACGCACAATAGTAAGTGTTTAAGTGTAAAATATTGAAATATTTTACAAAACTGAATATCCAGATATCAACAAAAGAATAACCGAACTTCTAGATATGAATTTTTCAGAGTTACTTGTCGATTCTTGAGGCTGGGTTTGAGATTATGAGAAACTTGGAATAATTAAGATTTTGCTAATTTGACATTTGAATTGTCTTTTTTCCCCCCATCAAAATCAGATTTACTGGTGCGTTAGCACTGAAGGAGGTAATAATCTTTTGGTTTTCAGTGCTTTTTTTCTGCTTTTTCCATTCTCATCGCAGAGTAGCTTTTAGTAGTTGCATTCCACATCGAAGCGCATAGGATGTGAAACGACTAATTCTTAGAAACAGAGAACTGGGAAAACAGCTATTTTGAAAATATTAAGAAGAAGCAACTTTTCTATATAGGGCAATGTGGTTATGCATTTACCAAGCTCTCTTCTTGAAAACATTATAAAATGGATATGTACATGCAATTAGATTAATGAAGCAGGAGTACATTATGCATTTTATACTGTTTTCCTGCATTTAAGAAAGTACGAATGTCTTCTCCTTAAAACTGATGAAATTAAAACTCGCTATAGAGCATGCATACCTTAAGAGTTATTCTTCATCCACTTCTGCTACAAATTGTGAATGGTGTTCTGGTGACTTGCTGTGTGTTTTGCTTAGATGAAGTTTTACTGCATGTTTGCTCGCAAATGTCCGACAGCACAACTTACATTTGAACTTAGAGTCTGTGTCCTCTTCTCCAGCTATTGTTTCAGGAGATCTTTGAACTGAAACTCTGGAGATTTCTTGCTCTACCTTGGTTTGCTGCTCCACAGCCAGCCTGTTCATGTCTTTCATTTGGAAACCTAGATGAGATTCTAAGTGGCTAATGTAAGTAGATGGGGTTCGAAACTGAGACGCACAGTCGCTGCAATAAAAGACTGGATGTCCTTTGTCCATGTTTTTCAAAAACTTTGTTCCTCCGGTTTTCCTAAGTTGATACTTGACATTTGCCAACCAATGGCTGATGGTGGTCATTGACAGTCCAGTAAATTTTGAAATCTGCATGCGCTCTTGTGGGCCTAGATCTGATAATAAATATTTACCTTCAGATGTCTGAAAGAGGCTGGAAGCAAACTGAGCTTGCAAGATAAGAAGATGCTGAGGGTTCCAGTTTGACTGTCTGCCCTTCCGTTTATGCAGAGTGGAGACTTCTGTTGAGACATCCTCAAAGCGTCGGACATCTATTTCCAATTTCATAGACGGGATCCTTGAAGATGCAGCAGGTTTTGGTGTAGTGGCTTTGGGAAGAACTTTGACCATGTCAGCGATGTCAGACAGAGCGTGCTTTTGAGGTGGAGAAGTACAAGATTGTGCTTGAGCTGACTCAGCTTTCTTGCCTTTGGATTTGGTCAGGTCAATAGGTTGATCGCTGTTTTCAAACAAATAGTGCCTGGATACACTTGCAGGCTTTGGTGGGGTTGGAGCAGGAGATAAAACTGGCTTCTCCATCATATTTAGATTAGGTTTGTGGAACATAGAAATTGTGCTAGAGCTGGGGCTGGAGTTGGATTGAGGCCGTAAAGGCTCAGTGGCTTTGCCCAAGTGATTATTCAGTACTGACTGCAACGCACTGAGAGGGTTGACACAAGGCAGTTCGGACGAATGGTTGGCAGCAGCGCAACCATTACTAAGGGAAGCTGCTGTTGGTTCCTTGAGAACTGCTTTTTCTTTTCCGCTGTCCTCTTTAATTTTGTCTTCTTCTTTCAAGGAACATGGTTCTGACTTTTTTGGCTCCACAGAGGCTTCAGATTTGAGGAGAGGTTCTCTCTCGCTCTGACTGAGTGAGGCAGGCTCAGCTTGAATGCCCTCTTTAGCGTAGTCCTTTTGTACCTCCTCCTTGTCATCAGTTTCCTTCTTCACTTGAGTGCACTGGGCCACATTTGCTGAGATAGGGACCAGAGGCATGACCTTCCACTTCGGAGCTATGGGCCTCAATTTATTTGTGATCGTTGGCCTGATTTGCAGTACTTGGGAACCCACGGGCAAAGACGGCTTAGCTCCTTCTGAGAGCTGATAAGCTGCGTGGATGCTGGGATACGCGCTCCAGCTGGGCGCTCCATTTTGAGCTTTATTGATGGCTGTCGTGACAGTGTTCTCCAAGGACTTTAAAATGTCTCCACCACCCTTTGAACCATCTTCTAAATCCTCTTCTCTGAGGTACTGGTATTTCATTGTGGGATCCAGTGGTTTCTGAAGAGTATCTTCATACTCTTCAGTTTTTACTGCTTTCTCATCTTTGTTTGCATCATCAGCTTTATCTTTTTTACTTTCTTTTTTTAGTTCAGAGGTGGCAGCTATGCATTCTGCAGAAGATTTACTGGTTGATTTTGAAACTGGGCTGTCATTGGCTGGTGCTTCAGACAGCGATTGCATTTTTTCCACAGCTAAAGGATCCAGAACAAGTTGCTTTCCTTTCTTTGAAGCTGAACTTGTGACTTTCAAGAAATGGCCAGTGACCATCATGTGGGTCGTGAGCTGCTGCAAGGTATCATGGGAACTTCCACATTCCATACACTTCAAAATCTGGGATTTGCAGGCCTCAAACTGCCACGTATAGCTGGCGCCATTCTGGTAGCCATAGCGGTTGTTAGATGATAACTGCAGGTTCGCATTCTTCTGAGGAGAAAAAGTATCTGAGAAAGACCCCGTCGTGGAATCGGGGGAGCAAGGCCTGTTGACATCAAACACACGTTTCTTTGCTGGAGTGACCATTTTTGAAGAAATGGTTGGTACCGGCTCCTTCAAAGGCACTTTTTGGTAATGTTTTGTTTTTATCATATGAACACTCAGATCTTGAAGGGAATCAAAAGAGTCACCACAGAACATACATTTCAGAACTTTTTGTGCATCTTCCTTGTCCATGTCCTGGAAAGCCCGTTTGCGGGGCTTTGAGTAGCTGGTAGGCCTGTGCTTGTCCTTTTTATGGTTGTCATCTTGGTAGTGACCTGTCTCGTTCATATGAACCGTCAGTTCTACCAACGTGTCATAGGCAGCGCTGCACTGCCGGCACCGAAACCGGCTGGCACCCGTGAACACAGTTCCACACATTTTGCTGCTCTGCCTGTAGAGCTGGACCGAGCTGAACAGGTTGGGTTTCGAGACAGGTCTGGAAGGTAAATTCTGCTGTAAGCTTTTTGACAGTGCGTCTTGGTGCCAATCAAAATCAGCTTTGTTCCCTCCATTTCTGTTGTCACAACTCCTCTTTTCCGAGTTAGACAACTTGAAACCCAGCCCTAAGCCCGTCCAGTAAGAGTCTGACAGTATGTTGGCATAGACCGCTGTCATTTTATCCATGCAGTTGTGTGCTTCATTCTGGGCTTTGGGATGGGTGCTGGGTTTTGGGTCCTGTGGCTCTCTAGAGCAGATGCTTTTAATGTCTGCCACGTGGTCACTACCATCACTTAGTAGTGATTCGTTTTCAGCATCCTGGTTAGATACATGACTGACAGGGGAATTCTGGTAACTGAAGTTCCCTTTATGCTCAGGACCCACTTCGTGTTCCTCATCCGTGCCAGTGTCATTGCTGCCCTGGAGCTGAGCAGTTGAGTTGCTGTCGTCATCATCTTCTTCCTCCTCCTTTATATCTTCCTCTTCCTTTATGTCTTCCTCTTGGACATAACCTGAAATGTAATGTCAATATATGAAATAACTTGTTAACGGAGAATACTACAGTTTGAGTTTTCTAGTTTCACTATGTGTTTTCTGTACTGGAATTTGTTTTAATCTACATTATTGCCTGTTAGTTCTGGAAATGAAAAAAGCCAAATGATGTCTCTTTTTGTGAAGGTTGCTGCATTTTATTGGCAGATGATCATAATTCTTTATAACTGCCAGAGATGCTGAGTTAATAATTTTCCTGTCATGGGAGTATAATTCTAACTGTCCTGTAATGGGACAGTTGGAAAATTCATATCTAAGAATTTAAAGTTTATACTAAAAGCTTCAATTCTATCAAATTGTTTTTAGCCTCAGCAAGAGAAAGGGTAGAATTGGCAAGGAACAGAAGAAAAATAACTGCCATAATCTTCCTGGTTCATAGCATCATCTAGGTACAGTAACCTTTTACCATTTGATCACCTAAAAATGCACTTTAGAATGTACACAAATAATTTATATGTCAAAATACAACATCTGAAAGCGCTAATAGGCATAAATGCAACTCTTTTGTTTATAAAAGTAATGTACTGTGTACCATAAAAGCAAATTGTGCTTCAATAAAAACAAATACATAAATTTCAGGGCAAGAACCCTTGGAAGTTACAGGAGAGTATTAAGACGTGACAGCGGTAGATCAAAGTTAACTGTAAAACTGGAAAAGTAGAACAAGTCCAGAAAGATTTTCTTTGACAAATTAACTATTTAATTAATAAGATGAACTTGATACTGGAAGAGCTGTAAATTTTAGAATTAATTAAGGAATTCAGTTTAGGTTTTTTCCTGGCCTTATATCAGCAGTAATTCTGCCTAAGTTACAGGAGATAATCTGGCTAAAAACAGACTGAAGAATTAGAGAAGAGGATTTTTAAGGGTGAACTGGCTCCATTGCAGTCAGTGGATAAATTCACAACGACTCAACACAGTCAGCAACTCACTCCCAGACCCCCCCAAGAAGGGACGGAGCAGAACGAGTGGTTCAGGTACGTTTTCACAAAACGCCAGTGTAATTCTTTTAACAGGCACTGCAAAGCTGTTATGCACAATTCAAGCAGACACGGAAACAATTCACTGGTATTGACAGTCACTCATCAAAACTAAATGTTGACTCCAGAAGCACAGGTCTTCGTGGGAGATATGTTGATGAGCTCTTCCAGTTAGGTGCAAACGCAGTGCTGCTAACCCCAGTGACTGCACTGCAGGCTCAGGAGGACTTTGTTGTGTTTGCTTAAGATCGAGCTTTTTGTGGCAGCTTTTTGTGGTAAAAAATTAAAATAAAATAAAATGCCAAAACCCCCAAATCAAAGCTGCTCTTAAAAATAACTAAGCAAAAATAAAAAAAAAAAAACTCTAGTACTCGTAATTGTGAAGTAACCCTAAAAGCTGAGAAAACAAAAGGTAAATAAGCCAAAAAGTGTTATTTGTTTAAAATCCAATTCCTTCCCATCTTCTGAGAAAACCCATCTTATGGCCCTTTGAGAACCTGGCTCATTTTGCTCTCTTGAATCTGGTACTCCTGCACAAAGGTTATCCTTCTAGCAAATCAAAAGGGATGGGCAGAAAAGGTAGAAACATTTTGATTAACATATGGACAAAACCTTCCACAGTTTTTTGAGATACGTGGTTCAATTTTTCCATCTATTTGCACGTGTATCTCACCCCTTCCAACACATATTTACTGTCAAGCCAAAGAGATGAACCAGAACTAGCAGAACTGTTTCCTGGATGAAGCTGCAGTATAAGCAGCGGGAAATGACGGCTTGCTCTATGCATGGGCTAAGAACCTACGTGAGTCGTCTTTCCTATGCCCTTCCTATGGTTTTAGGACCTGCACAGATCACACTGGCTTAGAGTTGGGCTTGGCTTACTCCAGAGGCGATACCAGGCAGATTCACAACCAGAGGTAAAGATAACCGCAGTGGCTATGAGCAAATGACCTGGACACCTTTTTAGCATGATAAAAAAATAATCGCATAGTAGTAGGGACAGTGTGCTCTTCAGCAGATGCTTTCAGCAAAGAAGCTAAATATTAAGTGTTAAATATTAAAAAAATAAGCCTTTTAGTAGTGTGTTGGGGTACAGAAAATACTAGTAGCCCCATTTCCAGACAGACTGAGGCAGGCAGCAAAGACACCACCAAGAACAAAATACTTATTTCACATCCCTAAACTTCTTCCCTAATAACCAGACAGTACTTCCCATGTACCCCTTTCCGAGCTCGCATGGTTTTCAGGGGGACAAGGAGAACGGAGGAACATGGAGGCGGCAAAGGCTCCTACACGTCATGAGTAGTAACCTTGTTAAACAAGCAGCACGAACCGATAGCAGGACTGACACGGTTCTCGCGGTGTTAGAGATACTGCACAGCGTAGGTAGCGACGCTGGCCCCTTGCCAGGATGTATCACAGTGCCAAGCATATTACACCCGGCAAAACAAAAATAAGGAGGGAATCCAATGAAGGAACCAGACAAAACAGACAACAAATAGCATTCACACGGTTTTGGGTCGGTGCAAATTTGATTCTCCATTTCAGCACCCATTCTTTAAATACTATTAACCCATTTTTCACTGGAAGGTAATTTTTTCCTTTGGAAGACACATATAGCAGTTTCTTCCTTCCAATATCCTTTGCCCTTCTAAAAGGATTTACTAGGAGAAGCAGAAGTACCAGACAGCTGCACATCCCCCACAGTACAGATAAAATTTTCTGCTTAATTAGGCATTGCCATGTTTACTATAACCTTTACAGAAGAGTACCTTGTGCTGAGAAACCCTCTTTTTTGGTGTCTGTATAAGATACAGACACAATCTTATGAAAGTGGTAAAAGTAACTTATTAGAAAGCAGCATCACAATTTCACAAAACCATCAGTCAGGTCCATTTTAAGGGTTAAGGGTTCTGGGCAGCTTTGAAAATGCATTTCAGTATCCTACTTGTAAAACTGTTTCTGTTTATTTAAATGATTTAAATTGCTGTGGGCATTTTAAGGACAGTGGAGACCTCTTCCGTGCAGACAACCTAGGGTACAAGAAATGCATGTGTCCTTCCACCAGAGTTTTATAGTAAGATTTCATTGGACATGAAGTTTGATATGAACTGATGTAGCTATTTAACAGAAATAACATTAATTTAAGTGGACTTTGCATTATTTATTTTATAAGTAAAGGGTGTCTTAGGCCTGTATACCCACATGCTTTAAATGCAGTCTCTGTAATAAGTAGCGTAAATTTTGCACATCATACCAAAGTCCATATAATAAATTGTTGAATGACCTGTTCTCTTCCCCCCAGTTCTCCTCCAGGCTTATTCTGACATTCCAAACCTTTGAGATGCTTATATATAGCTGTCTTGCAAGAAAAAAAAAAAAAAAAAATTAAAGAAATCCAAATGCAATAACCAGATGAACGCTTCCTCCTTTTCCCAGATGAGAATTTTTCCCACCAAAATTAAACAGGTCCAGATGGAGATGTAGGATGGGCAGGGTGCAGTCCTAAAGAAGTGGGGGACTGTAATTTCACTATCTTGAAGAGTGGACAAAGCTCAGGAGCTTCAGAGCACTGAATGGAAATAATTTCTGGCTTTCTAAATGGAGATGCAGTATTTGGGTTTAGTGCTGATTAATCCCAAGATAGTCTATGTCAAAATCATGACATCAGTAAGGATAATAGTATCATATGGATAATAATCATAAATACAATTCTAAAATGTATTAACTTTTTTAAAAAAATTCCTCTGTGCCTTTGTGATTGGATTCATGGTAACTTAAGAAATCTGCTTCTCTAGAACAAGGGTTGCAATAAAGAGCTGATTCTTTATTCTTCAAAAGATATAATTTTCTTAGATATTTCTAGCGTATTTCCACAGAGTAACTAAAAGAAAGCAGGTGCAGTTAATACACCTGCAAAAACTCTTTTCTGAACTTAGGGGTCTAAACTTCCACCCACATCCACCTTGAAGCCTTGACCGTACTGCGCAGGCAGCACTGAGCTGAGCTCCCAGCGATGTCGAATCCAATATTGACTTTCCAGCCCTTGCACCCCCGACTAACCTGTAATTTGCACCACGTTATACATCACTTCTGACCTTGAATTGTAGAGTGTGAATACATATTTTTTTAAAAAGTGTTCACTCTGACTGTTAACTTTTCCACCAGTGGATGCCATTTTCACTCAAATTTGCTCTTTTTCCACATAGAGAAACATTTCCTAAAATATATATATACACATTTCTTTCCAAGACTGGAAAATTTATTTTCTGCCAAGAAAAGGGACAGTGAATCATTGTCCAGAACAACACTGCTAATCCGTGTAAAACCCATGCACCATCTGCACTTCTTCATATATATATTCCAGTTTCACTTGAAATAACATCATTAGTAGAGCAATCTCACAGTGCTATAAGGTGATATTGTTTCCTTCTTGTCTGGCTTCAGCTCAAACATCTTTTTGTGTTTGGCAGAAGCTGTTTCTTTCTCTGAAATATTTCATGCAGATAATGGATAATGACCACTTCTCATTCCTTTTTCTCAAAAATGTCTAACTACATTAGCTACCCAAAGACAAATCTTAACCTGGCTCTTTGTAGAAGTTCATAGCTACAGATTCATCCCAGTTTGAAAATTAACTGAAGAGATAAATTGGCAACTGAGGAAAAAAAAAAAAAAAGCCCCTACTCTGTTGCATAACTCTTATATCAAAGACATTTTGGAATTTAACAGGGCTAAAACCAATGCAGCACTCTGGAAATGCAATGCAGTTTCATGGAAAGAACTCTCAAAACATGAAATTTGTAATACAAGGGTGAATTATACCATTTCAGAGCTGTTTAAACTATGTTAACAATTTCTGTACCAGGGAAATAACTTTCTGTTAAGTTCTGCAAGATGAAAACGCAGGGAAAGGTTACCATTCTCGTCACGGAGGGAGCAGAGAGCATCTGGCTCTGAGTCCCGGGTGTAGGAGACGA